CGCCGCCTGCGGCGCCCCGCCCCCGGCCCGACGCGGCAGGTCGGGCCAGAGGGTAGGCCAGACTGGGGCCCTCCTTCTACGCTCGTCTCCTCCTCCTCCTCCTCCTCCTCCTCTCCTCCTTCTCCTCCTCCTCCTCCTCCTTTTTCTCCTCCGCGCCCTCCTCCTCCTCCTCCTCCTCCTCCTCTTCCTCCTCTTTCTCCTCCTCTTCCTCCTCCTCCTCCTCCTCCTCCTCCCCCCTGTCTCACTCCCCATCCCGCCCTCTCACCTTTCCGTCGTCGTCGGCATCGTCGTCGACGTCGTCATCGGAGGAGGAGAGGGGGAGGACCTGTGCAAGTCCAAGACGCACTGAGGATGTTGCAAGAGCCCCTCCCTCCAATTTCCCTTTTTCATAGGCTCCTATGTGATTTTTATCACTACGGGAAGTGCCCGGTTGGAAGACAGCCGCCTGAGAATCTACAATCGTGCCAGAAAACCATTCTTGTGACTTAACGGCACAAACAATGTTTACATGTGCTTCTCAACGATCTTGAACCGTGCCAGAACACCGTTCCTGGGATTTCAACATTGCGAACCAACTCGATTGTTGTGCCCTGGCAATCCTAAGCCGTGCAATAATACCATCCCTGGGACTTCACTAGTCAGAACCTTTGGAAACGGATGTCAACTTGAACGCGAATGCGCGCGGCGATAAGGCGGGAGCCACACTTTAAAAGGAACCGCCCTCCATGCGTGAAACTGTTGCGAATTTAGGAAACGAATGTGCGCGGCGCCAATGCCCAGGGAGCGCGGACACAGCGTAATTGAGAGAACATGGCCCCTTGGGCGCCGACGCGGCGTAGTTTACGAGGGATCGTGGCCTTGGGAGCGCGGTCGCGGAGTAATCTAGGAGGGATCGTGGCCCTTGGAGTACGGACGCAGCGTAGTTCACGAGCTCAAATTTGAAACCCGCATGCCAGTTGCCATCGCATAGTCGCTCTGAGCTCCCATGCCCACCACAAGGTGAAAGCCGACTTGACCTTCCGTCCACTGCGGGCGGCGTCGCCCACATACCAGCTCGAAATCCGAGCTGTCGCCGCCGCCGCCACGGGGTGCTGGCCCGTGCAGCAGTGGCTGAGTCACCGAGGCCCGAGCGACGTGCGCCCCTCCGTCCTTCTCAGTTGTGTGGTGGCACGATGCGCCCCTGCGTTCTCTCGGGAGTGATCGCCTCGTCGGGGACCCCGCAGAGTGGGGTCTAAGGGTCCCCATGATTCTCACACGCTTCAGTGCTGGAGAAAGGATCTGTCGCCGCGCTGCCTGTTCCGGCACGCGGCCATCCGTCTTGCGAAGGGCGCCTCGGCCACCAGGGTAAAACGCCGCCCTGGACGTGGTGGGTTCGCCGTTGGTTTGCAGCGGTGTTCTGGCGTCGTCCACTTGGGCGCGTCGAGAACACACGGGGCGGCGACATGAGCGGACCCTCTGCATTGTCTGCAGAACATCGTGCACCACCGACCTCCGCGAGCCGACCCCCCAAGGGAAGGATGGCAGATTTTAGCGAATCTCCGTGTGGGGAGATACCCCCGCCCGTCTGGCATTCCGAGAGGCCGTCTGTGAAGCTGAGACCCAAGGGCCCCTTCTCAATTCAGATTTGCAGAAGGCATGGTGCAGTTTCTGCACTCTTGCCTAATTCGTTTTGTGGCTTCGCCTTTTCGCATGGACTCATGCTGTCTCCATGCTGAATCGTCCCGAGTCGTCCCTCTGGGGGTGTAGCTGGGGCCTGGCTGGGCTGCAGCTGCGCCCCTCCTTCAGAGGAAACAGAGGAGGCGGAGGCGGGGGTTGAGTCGGGGTGGGGTGGGGGGAAGGACGAGGAGGGAGGGAGGGAGAGCGGGAGGGAGGATGGAGGTGGATGGGGCAGGGAGGAAGAGGGAGGCGAGGGGGATCGAGGGAGGAGGGAGGAAGAGGGAGGCGAGGGGGATCGAGGGAGGGAGGGTGGAGGCAAAGGAGGGAGGATGGATGGGATGGAGGAGGCAGGAGGGAGGAGGCAGCAACAGCAGATTCCTATCGTGCCGCCGTGGCGGCGATGCCAGCCAGGGCCTTCAAGGTCTACAGCCACTGCTGGCCTGCGACCGGCGAGCATTGAACGTTCTCGAGTGTCGGTGCCTTGGGGGCCCACGCCAAGAAACACCCGTGCTTGCCTCCAGGGTGCCCTGGGTTTCTTGGGCTTCGATGGTTTTGCGATGGAACGCGTGACGTTCCCACACCAGAAGCCAGAACGCGGGACGTCCTGGGGTCTCGGGGTCGGGTTTCTTGTGGAAGGTTTCTTGTGGTAAGCCTTCGTCGTTCGAGGCGGAGCGATCGACGCGGTGTCGGAGACCCGCGCGCCGGTCGCCACGGCGCGGGCCTGCCGCATGCGGTCGGGCAGGCCCAGAATGCAGTCGGGCATGCCCCTCCAGAGGAGGAGTGCTCAAGAGCAGGAAGCGGTAGTCAGGTCATGTGGCCGTTGCAGGCATGTTCCCATTCAGGTTGATACGTTTGGCGGGAATTCGTATATTCAGGCAGGTGTGCTCTTCTCCCCCTTCCTCGCTCCTCCTCCTTTTTCCTCATCTGTGGTGTCATCTCGCTCTGGGAACAAAGACAAAACGAATACCGTGCGCTGAAAAAAAGGAAGCAGTAGTCAGGTCACGATGTGTCGTGCTCTTGTAGCAATGTTTGAGTGTGTGTTGCTGATTTCTTCCAAGGCCCGCCTGCAGGAGGACATGCCCGACCTAAGCTTAGGATGAGGACGATTTTTGTTCGGAGCGCCCCCGTAAGCTTTGAGAGCGTTCCAGAGCGCTCTGAAATGGCCGCCGCGCCACAGACATCATCCAGGCCCGCCTGTTCTGAGAGACTCCCGATCTATCCTCATCCGGATGTTCTTCATCCTGCCTTGATTTGGTTGGCCATCTTGCCTTCGTCATACATGGCATCCCACCTTCGTCTTACCTTACATCCTGCCTTCGTCCTGCACGGAATGTTGCCTTTCTCTCGCGTGGCATTCAAGTCCGAAAGTGTCCTCATTCTGTTGCTGTCCAAGGGACCTGCACTCGGCATTGCCTACACATGCTTGTGCACTGTGTGCGTTGGCCCCCGCAGGGAGGACGCGCGCGTTCATAAATCAGATTGACGCACGCTGGGTGGCGGGCGCCTTCCAACCATACCGCTTGGGCAACGAGCTGCTACAATCTGTTAATGCGATGTGCTCACCTTAGACGTACGCCTCCGAGGAGGGCGCATAGCAGTAGCATGTCCTTCTGCAATCCCATGAACTCCTGCCGCGCATCCTCACCACCCTCAGCGGTCCCTGGAAGCGTAGTTGTTCAAACCGTGTTCGATGTTCAGTTTTTCATCGTTTCCGGTGCCGGGTTTTGTGTGTTCCTTATTGTTTTACCGTTTTCGTTTCCCTGTTTTGGGGCCTGGTCCAGATCACCGTTTTTTCTGGATCTGGGCCGTTTTCGAACTGGTTTCGATCGTTTGTCGGATCCTCGGACTGGCCAGGCCGTTTCGGTGAATCGTTCTGTTACCGTTTCCGTGAGCCGTTTTTTGTTGCCGTCTTCATTGTCAAGAGGCAGTTTTTTGAACATGGAAAAACAAGGGCCGTGTCGTTTCCTGGGCCCACCAGGGTCCGGGCCAGCATGCAAGTTTTTTCCCCTCGATTATCCCCTTCGCTGTCGCCGCCGAGTTTTCGGATGCATCAGCGATGACACATCAGCATCACAAATCAATCTTCAAGTGCATCAAGATATGGTAGATCATGGCATGCAGTCGGCGGCAAAGTCCAGATGGGAAGCACTGTGCTCCTACATGCTGTGCTGACAAACGCGCAGATCTGTAACGACCTCAGCCAGGCGCACACCTCGCATTCTCCAAACACAGCATTCCTGGAGGCATGCGAACGCCAAAGTGAGCGTCGGCTCGGGCCTCTTCTGGCAGACATCGCAAACGTTCCGTGGCCCCACTGGGAGCTCCACCGAAGGCGACACGCGCAGGTGCGGCACTCGCATCTGCATACGAGCGGCACCTTCGCCAGGATAGCTTCGGCCGCTTTCATGATTCACTGGCAGTTTTCTGCCACAAGCGGTATACAGGAGCTGCCATGCCGCTTGCAGGGACCACTGGGTCACCACCCTCGGCGGCGGAATCCGTTCCCTGCCCTCGCCGATCCACGATTCAGACGACTCGATGGGCGACGGGGGTACGGCTCGCAATTCGCCAAACGCGTGGCGAAAGCCGAGCCCTGACCCCGCCTACCATCGATCCAGGAGAATCGATGGTTGGTGGGCACCGCCCCTGGATTGCCGGGTGTGGCTTCCACTGTCCAGACCTTCAGCTGCGGCCGTTCAGGTTGCCACATCGTGATCCCAGCCTCTCTTTGTTCCTTCCTCCCCCTCTTCCTCCCTGATCCTTTTCTCGCCGATGCCACCTTACTTCTGAAATGCTGCTGCAAATGAAGCCACTAGTCGGGTCTGCCGCGTATCGCCACGGAGCGCACGGGTTAGTCGAGAGACGTGGCGGTCCCTGTTTTGCCTCTACCTCCTTCTTCTCCCAACCAAACTGACTCGATGGTTGGGTGTAAGGTTCGATGTCGCCACGTACACCCGCTCGCACCGCACATGTCGGCGGCGAGCGAGGGGGGGAAGTGAGAAGGGGCGGGCCTTCTCAGAAGGCTCGGAGGCCCCCAGGCCTTCTGAGAAGGTTTCCGAGCCTTCCCCAAAGACAGAAACGGGCCTCTCAGAGGGCGCGAGGCCTTCTGAGGAGTCCCGCCGCCTTCTGAGAAGGCCCTCTCCTTCTCACATCCCCCCCTCGCTCGCCGCCGAGAGGAGGAGGAGGAGGAGGAGGAGGAGGAGGAGGAGGAGGAGGCGGAGGAGGAGGAGGAGGAGGCGGAGGAGGAGGAGGCGGAGGAGGAGGAGGAGGCCCTCCTCGCTCGACGCCGAAGACGGCGCGGCCTGCCCTGCCTCCCGCTGGCCCGCCCGCACGCCCGCCGAGAGGTGGGTGCCCGCCGCCGACGTGCCGCCTCGGGCGCCCGGAGCGCCGGAGCGCCGCGCCTTCGCGAGGCGGCCCTCTGAAGGGTCACCACTCGACGACGGTCGACGACGGTCGACGACGACGACGACGACGACGACGACGACGACGGCGACGACGACGACGACGACGACGACGACGACGACGACGGTCGAAGGGCGAGGGGCGCCTGTCGGCGGCTGCGACGACGGTCCGCTGTCCACGGTCGGCTGCCGACGATGACGGTCGACGACGGTCGTCGACGGGCGGCGACGGACGACGACGGAGGGCGTTGTCGATTCGGAGGCCGCTCCCCCCCCCCCGCGCGCGGTGGGCGCCGCTCGGGGGGCCTCGCATGGCCGCATCAGTCGGAGCGGGTTTTTGGTTGGGTGCGAGAGCGAAGACGGCGCGAGGTCATCTTCGACCCTGCAGATCCGCTCCGTCCTCGGCTTCGGCCAGCCAGCCCAGAGGTCCTTGGGAACCATGTAGCGGTTCCGGTCGTGAATGCTAGTTGTATGAATCTCAAAAATGGTTCCGGAGCTGTCCTGCTGTACAAGATGGTTCCGGTGTTATCTTTTGGTTCCGGATTATATGCCCATATGCGTGCATATATACATGCATGTAGAGTTGCACGCATACGTGCTATATATTATATGTATATATGCATATATATATGTATATATATGTATATAGCAATGCGTGTAGATGTATATACGTATATGTGTATACAAACACACATGTATACAACTTACATTATAGATCATACATAATATATATTAACACATATGTATATGATTACACGCATATACATATATGTATACATATATATATATATATATGTGTAGGTGCGTCTGCTTATATATATATATATATATATATATATGCATATGGGTACATAGGTTCATATTATTCCTCCGCTCCGTATGTTGTGTAATCCCCTTCAACTGCCGTCGTCGGCCGTTCCATCCCACCTCCGTCGCCCCCCGCCCCCCCCCCCCGCCTCGCGCACCAGCGCCCCTGTGCTCGAGATGGCGGGCGCCACGGGGGGCGCGTCGCCACGAGATGGCGACGAAGACGGCGAGGAGGGCCTTGAGGGCAACGTGAAGCCCGTCGTGATCGCGAAGGCGCCCGCCGCCCGCCCCTGACCCCGTCGGACGGGGTCAGACACTCCAGATCGTTGGGCGCTGCGCAGGGGCAAATGGGCGGGGCCCGTCCGTTTGCCCCTGCGCAACGCCCAACGATTTGGAGCGTTGCCCATCGTTTCCCCGCAGCGTCCCCCCTCTACTCTTCCATCCTTTATTTCTATCGCTCTATCGTTTCCCCGCAGCGTCCCCCCTCTCCCCTTCCATCGCCCGCCCGACCCGAGGCTCTCCTCGAGCACGTGCGGGGGCCCAATTTCTTCCAGTACCCGCGGGGCCTCCGCTCCGCCGAGGTCATCACGGAGAGGCTAATAGAGGCGGGGAGGGGGGGCAAGGATTACGAGGATGAGGAGAGGGGGCGAGAAGGGGAGGGAGCAGCGAGATGAGGGAACGAAGGGGGCGCATGAGGAGCGACAGAGAGGAGAGACACAGAGAGAGAGAGAGAGAGATATAGTGAGAGAGGGAGATGGGGAGAGAGAGAGAGAGAGAGAGAGAGAGAGAGAGAGAGAGAGAGAGAGAGAGAGAGAGAGAGAGAGAGAGAGAGAGAGAGAGAGAGAGAAAACAAAAAAACAAACAACAGTTCTGATGAAAACCACCCGCCCTCAATCCGTGAAACCCGTGCTGAGTTCAACGCGAATGTGCGCCGCGCTGAGGCGAGAACAACATTTTGAAAAGCACCCGCCCTCAATCCGTGAAACTCGTTACCATTGTGATATCCGCCCGTCGTCGGTGATACGTTCCCGTCGCAGTCGTTGCGGTCGACGTCCCCCCTCGGGCGGGCAGCACCAGCCCATGTTGATCAAGCTGCGGGGGATCGTCGAAGGCGAAAAGGTTACTGCGGCCACGTGGAAAGCCGCCATGAGGCTCATCATTGCGCTCAAGAAGACGTCTGGATTGGGGAAGCTATCGTCGACGGTGGGACTGGGGATTGTTCTGGTGCGTTCGCGCGACGACGTTGCATCTCTCCCCGCGCCCACCTCGCCCCCCCCCGTCGTCGCCCTCTTCCCCATCGGCCCCCGAGCCTCCCAAGACGCTGGCATGAGGACCAGTTGTGGCCGAGGCTCGCCGTGGTCAGAAAAGCTCGTTCCTTATTCAACGGTCTTGCTGGTAGCACGATGGCAGTAGGTGAGGAAGCAGGTGGTCGCAATGTGGTTTGGGCGGTTGCATGTTTCGCGCGTAATCCCTGTCGCCAGGGGCAGGGCAGGAGACTGAAGAGTGGGTTGAGGTTCATGCTGACAGGCTACGAACGGCGCTATGCCACATCCGCGATGCGATCAACAGGCACCCCGATACGAAGTGGGTGCGGCCGTTCGTAGCGATGAAGAGGCCCGCGTCAGATGATTGCGAGCAGGACAAGAAGGCGGAATGCGAAGATGAGGATATCAAAGAGGAAGAGGAAGAGGAAGAGGAAGAAGAAACTAATGAGGATGAGGAGGAAAAAGAAGAGGAGGAGGAAGAGGCAGCCGCTAGAAGCATCAAAGAGGAAGAGGACGAGGACGAGGCAGACGAAGACGAAGAGCACAACGAAGAGAAAGCCACGCCCGTGTCAAAGCGGCCAGCGAAGAAAGCATCCGATGAGCCAACAGATCATGAGGACAAGCCAGGTGAAAAGCTAAAGAAGGTGCTTCGGAGACCAGCCTCGAAAGTAGTTGCGAAGAGGCCTGCTGCCAAGCCAGCTGACGATGATGAGGCATCAGGTGACGGCGCTGAGGAGACGGTGCGAAAGAAACCAGCAGCAGGGGCAGCAGGCGCAGTTGAGGCACGCAAAAAAGAAGCCAAGAGGTTGAAAGCCACGTTTACAGATAAAGAATGCGAGGGCCCCGAAGTCGATGCAGAGAGACAAATGCTAGCTCATCGGATCAAGCTTGGATCAAAGACAGTTATGACTAGTGTTAGGCAAGTTGAAGTGTTCGACGAGATCGAGGAAAGTGTCTTCGACGATGCATGGCCCAGCGTAGTGAGTAGACTCAACGAAATCGAGCAGAGGAGGCACGTTGCAATGCAGCGAGAGAAATGACGGCTCAGGCAGAGGAGGCTGCAAAGAAGAGGAAGCTGGATGAGACGGCTGAGGCAGCAGGGAAGGCAGCTGCAGGTTCAGCAGCAGTCGCGGCAGGAGGGAAGAGCTCAGGAGGAGATGAGAAGACAGCGAAGTGGTGCTCTGCAAAAGCCATGGCGCACATGCAGCGGGCGGGCTCGGGAGCGAAGAAAGGTCCGCCCATCTACAGCGACGAGCTTGATAGCACGAGTTATGAGAACGAGGTGAGGGCTAAGATTGCAGGAGAATGGATTCGCGTGGAAAACATGACCCCTGAAGATTTGGCAGAAGCGCTGGAGGTGAAAACGCATCCTGGAAAGGGCAGGGCACCGCCAGTGTGGGAAGGAAAGACGCATGATGGGAGGAAAAAGCTGGAGGCCAAGTTGAAGCCACAGAAGGAAATGCTTGTTTTGTTTGTCCCGCTGCTTCTGTCCGCCGCTCAGGCCCATTCCAGCGTTGGTGTCAAAATTGCACTGTCACTTCAAAACTTGCGTGCGCTGAGGTCCTGGGGAATTAGAGGCCATCCTCACATCGCCCTTATCCTGGTCCTCCTTCCCTATCTGCCCATCCTCCTCGCCCCCCCGTCCATCCTCGCCCTCCGGTCATCCTCGTCATCTGGTCTCTTCCTTATACTCCCCATCCTCTCCCCCCCTGCCCGCCCTCTCGCCCTACCCCTGCCCCCATCCACCCTTAGCCCATGCCCCGCGCGACGAAGCACTGCCTTCGCGCGCCCCCAGGATCGGCACTCGATCTTCGTGATGCAGGAGAAGAAGGCGAAGCCAGGCGAGAAGTGGAGCCAGGTATGCCAGGTGACGATCAAAGGCGAGGTGACTTACGAGATTGCGCGCCAGGCCATAGTCAACCTGTGCAAGAAGTACTCCGCAGGACACTGGGAATGTCGCATCGCAAGGTCGGGGAGAGTAGCGATGAGCTCAGCAATGAAGAGCGGTGAAGTACGATGGAGCCTGGCGAGGAGCGTTTAGATTCAGAGGATCGGGGGAGGGAGAGGGAGAGTGAGAGAGATGCAGCTCCAGAGCGATATCCAGGAAGCCAAGAGAAATGCGAAAAAGAGAGAGAGAGAGAGAGAGAGAGAGAGATGGAGAGTGAGGCCGAGAGGCAGGAATAGGAGGAGTGATATAGGCATCTAGTAATATATAACGCAAGATGCAAATAACATGCGAGAGAGAGAGAGAGAGAGAGAGCAAGAGGGAGAGAGAAAACAAATAAACAGAGAGAGAGAGAGAGAGAGAATCAAAAAAAAACACGACCGAGCGAAAGAGATCGATCGTGAGGAAAAGGGGGGGAGGCCAGATCAACGCCGACAATGTGTACGAGTCGCGGGACAAGGAGGTGGAACAGCTGACTGCAGCTGCGCCAGGTGGGGCGGCGGTGCAGGGGCGCTGCCTCCTCGTCATCGTTTCTCAGCCATTCCTATGCTCATTCTCGTCATGTATCCTAGTCATCCTTCGTTTCTCAGCCATGTCATCCTCGTCGTGCTCGTCATGCCTGATTCCATCGTTTCTCAGCCATGTCATCCTCGTCAGTCTCTCATTCAGTCGTCGATGCTATGATTGGCTTGGCAACGCATTCCGATGCGTTGCCAAGCCAATTCCCAATGTCGACGACCCATCGTTTGCAATCGCGGGGATGGGGAGGTGATCGGGATGATCTTGATGAAGATCAGAAGAAGACCGAGTCAGACTGACTCTCCCCGAGCCAGGGGGCGGCTCGACCTCGCACTGCCGTCGCGCTTGTTTGCAAGCAGAAATGGAGACAGGGGTGTATATACGTGTACAGTCGGTGCGATGAGTAGGTCGATCCTGCTTTTACAGCCCTGAAAAATGGTTTTGCGTCCGACCACGCCCCTCCCCCCCCCCGC